ACTGTATTATTATACATTATAATATATAATAAATATTATGTCTATACATAAAATAAATATATAAATAAGAAATCTAAAAGAGAGAGCTACTCTGAGTGATAATGGGAATTTATTTTGCTATTTTCCCAGGCTGTGTTGGAGTGGACATGATACCAAGAGAGGTTTGTTGCCACATGGGTTTGTATTTCACCCAGAGGCTGGGAGTGGGGAGGGTGCAGAGTGGTCTCTGCTGGTGCAACCTTGTTTTATGGTGCCCCAACTTTGAATTCCTGTTTTTATTTTTGTCCTTTTTAATTGGTAAGGATGCAATCACTCCCTTTGTTTTCTCTAATAACAGTTTGGGGAAAGGTTTACAGTAGACTGCCAGGACTGTGTTTGCCGGGAAGGTGGAATTGGCATTGTGTGCAAGCCTCATGAATGCCCCAAACAAAACATCACCACTTGTGTTGGAGAAGGCTTCTATAAGGTCACTGAGGTCAATGGTGAAGACTCCTGCTGCCCCATTGTCACCTGCAGTAAGTTTATCCTTCTGTTTCCAGTCTTTCTATACCTTTTAGGAATAGAAAGGGAAAGGAAAGAGAGCACACTTAACATGAGAAATCTGCAGCAGGGAGTCACAAAATACCTTTCCTCATGCTTTTGAAAACCAGCTTGCCCAGTGTTAAGGAAAATACATTTTACTTCAGCATAACTGCCTCTGTAGTTCTCGAGTTCAGAACCACATTTAGTTCAGGTAAAATGCAGATAGAGTATGGAATTCTGTGTGGATTTTTGTTCTGTGGCAATAGCTTATGACCTTGGAAAGAGTAAAACTGGAGCACTACTTCTCTGCAAAGAATTGTGATATTTTTCCAATGCATAATAGAAGTTTCATGGGCTAGAGCAGTTCTCCAATCCATTGCCTGGGTTGAATCAGAAAAGTGTGTTCTCTTTCTGCAGTTTGTTTCTTTGGAGAGGATGTGGACTGTTTCCTAACAATGGAAGCTCTATCCTAAGTTCTTTGAGAGATGCCTATTTTTAGCAGCTGTGATTTAGTGTATTTTTTGTTTCTTCCTTTTTTTTTTTTTTTTCAGAATGCAATATAAGCTTGTGCACAACTAAACCCCCCAGGTGTCCACTGGGATTTGAAGTTGAATCTGATATTCCCAGTGGTCAGTGCTGTCCTGTATACAAGTGTGGTAAGTCCCTTGGAAATATGGTCCAATTATTAGCTTTAGATAATGGGTAATTTAGCATCACACTTAGACGATTCCTCTTCCAATAGGTTATTGCATACAACATGCAGTCAGTCTACAAACTGTTTACTATTAACATTGGTTTCTGCTGCCATGGTTATGATGAACAACTATTAAATCAGACATAGCTCAGGTGGCTGAACTTCAATTTCCAATTTTCAGATGAGTACCTGTACAGAACAGCTACAGAATTAACCAGGATTGTCATCTCAGCTTTATCTAGCAAAATGTCCCTGTAAAGATCCTCAGTAGAAGATAGATTTACAAAGTCCACTTTTGTATTCTTGGTAATTAAGGATCTACTTGCTCTTGCTAAGTGGACATTCTTGGCCATGGCCTGGGCTGTGTGTATTGGGCCAAATCTTTCTCCCTTTTTACACATGCAATATGTGTTCTTGTACTTTATATATGTCATATCCTCTACCAGAAATGGGGAATAACCAATGTGCTTGAGTCATTGTGGTAGGAATGAGTTTGACTAGAGTGGGGTGAAGACTTTTAGGGGTTTTTTTTACCTCTCTAACAACCCAACTCCTTGCTTGTTAACAGTTCCCAAGAGGGTTTGTGTACACGAGAATGCTGAGTTCTTGGTGAGTTCCTATTTCAACAGTCTTCTGCACATCCTTGAAGGATCAGTTAGTGTGCTTTAGCAGGAGTGCTATGAGGAGATTTCTCTGGCACAATCATCATTTTAAAGATTTTTTCAGATTCCTGTCAGCTGTTCACCAATTTCACAAAGCCTAAATCTTTTCTGAAAAGCTTCCTGTGTAGGAAAAAGGCTGAAGAGTTGTTTGTATGTCAGTCTCAGAGGGAGATTTGGAGTTAGGGTTAAGTGTGCATGAATTTTAAAAGTCAGTCCAGCATGTTATTGCAGTTTTAAGACTCTGCTTTGGAAAATGAAAAGACTTGTAAATAAGTATTATTCTAAACACATTCCTAATAGATTCTGTTTGCTCTAGGAACTGTTTTATTGCAGATATTTTTATGACACCTGTCCTTTGAATATCTGAGTATATCATTGCTGTATAGAACTTCAAGAAAGGCTCATGTTAAATTATATTCAGTATTTAAAGTGTTGTCTTCATAAATGACTAGCTAAATAGTTTTTATGATTGTTTCCTTTTCCATTGTTTGGTTTAATAATTTATTGGAAATCAAGAAAAGTCTGTCATATATGTTATATCTCACTAATATATGAACCTTTTTTTCTTTTAATAATTGTAGCCTAATTCCTCAGTCTTTATTGATAAATGTCTGAATTGTTTCTGCACCAACCAAGTTAATACCAGCTCTCAAATGAATATCATCTCCTGTGAACATATTCCATGCAACACAGCTTGTCAACCAGTAAGTGACAAACTTAAACCCCAAAAAAACCCCCAAATATCCTTGTGTGTGAAAAACAGTTTGACCAATGAATGGTATAAGCAAAAGACAGGGAGAAAAAGACAGAAGTCCAGCTCCAGTGTGGATACCAACTGTCCCTGAGCAACCTTCCAGGACTTCAAGGCTGCTTACTGAAGAAAGGGCAATTGCTTTAAACTGAAAGAAGGTAGAATTAGGTTGGATATAAGGAAGAAATTCTTCTCTCTAAGGGTGGCAAGAACTGGAACATGTTGCTCAGAGTTGTGGATGCTCCATCCCTGGATGTGTTCAAGAGCAGGTTGGATGAGATCTGAGCAGCCTGGTGTAGTGAGAGTAGTCCCTGCCCATGGCAGAGGGGTCAGAACTAGATGATGCTTAAAGGTCCCTTCCAGCCCAAAACTAATTAATGGAGTGATATTTAATTAATAAGCATATTTATTATAGTGCTTTATTTTAATTTAATTTATTCCATCTATAACCTGCTTTTATTACTTGTCTTCCATTGGGTTGGAACATAGGCACCAATCTAGAGTGCATTTCAAAGCATAACCAGTTAATGGGTCAGTATATTTTCATTTATTTCTCAAAAATACATCTACCATGCTGCTTTCATTTTTAATTCATTTTAATATCTAGGGATATGAACTTCGACCAGTGAAAGGTGAATGCTGTGGAAGATGTGTGCAGACTAAGTGTGTTATACGTACAGCCAGCAATTCTCAGCTCATCCTGAATGTAAGTATGTTCTACATCTTGCATCACTACCATCAAATTTGTGGAGTTTGCCACCTGAAAGGTCAGAGGCTCAGCTAAAGCAAAGCCCGTTTACAATTTTCTGGCCTGAAGGGAGAACTCAGGAAATCATATTTACTAAAAAAACACTACCTGGAATAACAAATCCAATACCATTGGAAAAGTTATTCCTGCAATATCTGGAAGCTTGGGGGTTTCTATATTATTTGATTTCTGTGTACTGAAAAACACCAGTAAAGCCTGTGTGTGAAACCATTGTATTGCCCCTGTAGGGTGAAAGTTTAAGGTTGTTCTTAATTGCCATTTAACAGTTTAGCTTTCCCTAGGGATGGATAATTTTATTAATTCTCATGTTCTCTACATGCTTTAGAGGGATTTTTCTTTTCCAAGGGAAATCTCATATTAGACTGAAGGTTCTTTCCACACATGGCATACTAGAACACATGTGATAATCTATATCCCAAATGACTGTTACCCTAAAACTAATTGCCTGGGAAACAAGAGGAAAGTTCTTGTTAGAGGACTAAAAAACTTGTCTGAGCTCCCTTCAGCTTTCCTTACTACATTTTGTACTTTTCTTGCAGCCTGGAGAGTTTATAAACGATCCTTACAACAACTGCACCATTTATAGCTGTGTACATATCCACAACCAGTTTATCTCTTCCACATCAGAGATCACCTGCCCAGCATTCAACGAGGAGACCTGCAAACCTGTGAGTAAACGTGGAGAACTTCCCCTCTACTCCATGAGTAGATTACTGCAGTTTAATTCAGCCACTGAACGAGCAGCAGAAGTCACATGAAGCTCTAATGACCTTTCACCAAAGTTTCTTAGTCCCAGTGGCAAAATCTTCTGCCACATCCATGCACAGACCTATCGAGTGTATAAAATAAGATATCTTGGTGAGAGTTCAAGGCTTATAACTGGCAGCTGTCTCTCAGTAGAGCCAAAACTCTGGTAAGCACTGAGATAGTCCTCCCTGACTGCTCGGTGCAGGGTCCTGTTGACAAGAACCATGTCCCCTTGAATGCTACAGGAACACAAGCTGCTCAGTCAGTGGGCTGCCAGTTGCCCCATCCATATTCCCCAGCCAAATACAGAAGTCTCTGAAAAAACATTTTTTGGAACTGTTTCTGAGGGGGAAAAGAAAAATGCAGGATGTTAACTGTAGATTTCCTTCAAAGCATTTTCTTTGTTTCCACAATCCTTTGTAAATGGATAGATTTTGAGTCTGGAAAAGGCCATATTACCTTTATTTAGATCAGTGCTACAATTTTCACTGGCTATTTCCAGCCATTGAAGAATCACTCTCCTCAGTTATTGGCCTAAAAGCTTCTTTAAGACAGGGAAAGGAAATAATATTTATTTTTCCTCTTTCTTTGTTCTTTTAGGGCACCGTTACCTTCTTACCTAACGGGTGCTGCAAAACCTGTAAGTACCCCAATGTACCTGAAATAACAACAGAGAGAATGAATTTTCTTCTTAAATCCACCCATTTTCCAGCCCCAGAGGCTGATATGTTTGTATTCAAATAGACACTATCATATTTATGTTGGTTGTTCCAAACGTTTGCTGTTTGGTCTCTCTGGGAAGCTTTAAAGCAGAGTAGAAACACCACTTAAAATGCTTTGAGTGCACTGCAGAAGCCCAGCAGTGAACTTCAGGGAACTTCTGGAGCTATTTCACTGGAAATATTTTCTGCCCTTTCCCTCCAGGTGCACCTCTGGACAGTCCCACCCCTTGCACTGTCCGTAGGAGGAAGGATTTCATCGTCTACAGGGGCTGTCGTTCTGTGGACAGAGTTGTCATGACTGAATGTGAGGGAACGTGTGGAACCGTCTCACTGTGAGTAAACTGATGGGACAAGGAGATTTCAGTTCTGCTGGCAATGAGCTTGTTTGTATCACAGGAACAATAAATAGGTGGGCTACAGGATGGTAGAAGGTTTGGAACTATCAGCTCCCCAAACCACAGGGAGCTTGGTTCACGTGGGGGTTCACAAAATAGTGAAATCTGTGACCCAACAGTTGATTTGTCTTAATATAAAGCAGAAAAGTGTATTAATTTGGCTTGAGATTCAGACAGCTATTCATCCTTTAAGAGCTGGCTTGTCTCTCATTTGTGTCAGACCACCTTGGCTAGAAAGCATCACCAAAGAACATGAACTAGTTCCTGCAACAGGAATGAGCCTGGAGAGCAGCCAGACCTGATGCTCATAAGCTGAAAAGCTGTTTCTCAATAATACACATACATCTTTTAAAGGAAGATTCAAATATGCACAAGTTTTATACAATAAAGAAAAAAATGCTTTAGGGGTGGTGTTAGGGGAGTGGTTTCACTGTAAATTTTTGTCTAAAATGAGAGATTCACCAGGAAAGTGGCTGTAAGGAAGTGGCTCATGCACAAGTTTTATACAATAAAGAAATTGGAAAAAAATGCTTTTGGGGTGGTGTTAGTGGAGCAGTTTCACTGTACATTTCTGTCTAAAATGAGAGATTCTCCAGGAAAGTGGCTGTAAGGAAGTGGCTAGTAGGGTACTTGGTACTGAGCTATTACAGCACTGGAAAAACACAATTCTAAGACCCTAAAGGAACAGGGGAATTTTTGCTGCCTATCACTGAATGTGCCACAGGGCACCTTACATGGACAAATCCTGATCTCTAGTCTCAGCCTAAACCCCAATTAGCCAGGGGGGATTGTGATGCAATTGTGATGCAACTGTAGCACTTGTAGCCAACTGACGGGTGTGATACATTGTAGGTGGCATGGTAGCCACTTGCCTATTCAATCTTCTTATTCAGATCAGGGCATATCAGGAAGAATTCTTCACTGAGAGAGTGGTGAGGCACTGGAGTGGGCTGTTCAGGGGGATGGTGGAGTCACCATCCCTGGAGAGATTCAAAAAGAGAGTAAATTTAGCACTTGAGGCTGTGGTCCAGTGGTTAGGGAGATGTTAGGAGGAAGGTTGGACTTGATGATCCTGGAGGTCCTTTCCAACCACAGTGATTCTATGAGCTTAGCACTTTCATGAGCCACAACTGTGGCTCTCCTACACGTTATTCCAAACCCCTCACAGGAGTTCTGTGCCTAATTTCCCCCTCCTCTCTGCGTGCTGGCTTCTGGCACGAAGTAACATTGCCACGTTCCCTGTTAACAGATACTCTGCTGAATCCAACTCCATGGACCACAGCTGCTCCTGCTGCAGGGAGCTGAAGTCCTCCCTGAAGGAGGTGAGACTGAAATGCCCCAGTGGGCGTTTCATTTCCCACAAGTACATGTATGTGGAGAGCTGCAGCTGTCAAGACACGGACTGCAGAAACCCACGGTCCAGTGAGATGCACAGCAGAGAAGAACACGACCAGGCGAGCGCTCTGGACCGTATCAAGAGGGCCATCAGCTTCTCATCAAAATAAAGGGGAGAAAAAACCCCACCAGCATCCAGCTAAAAGGACTATGCACCCTTCCTGTCTTCCTTGACTGCTTCTGAACTCTGCTTTTCCCAATTACTGTATCCTCTTTATTCTCTTGTTATTTTTAACAGCGCTCTATTTATTTGTGTGAGAAGGCAGAAGATAAATTTGTGTTCTTCCAGGTGCACAGTCATTGGAGTCCTTTTCTGATCAGCTTATTTTCTCTGAATGATTAAAAGCACATTTCAAAACACGTGGGGTTTGTGCTTATTCACGCGCTGTCTTGATGGGCCTGAGTTTTGAAAGACAAGGAAAGATCTTCTCATTATAAGAAGTCAACTGATATAGTTCTTAAATTTTGGGGGTATCTATTTCTGGCTCCTTAAAAATGGAAATATCAGAGGGTACTGCCTAGAGGACTCCAGGTTTAAGGTGGAGCTTAAAGGTGATGCTGTCTGGAAGAACAAAGCCAGAGATGAATAATGCAGCGTGCAGGGATTCAGGTGGCTCAGAGAAACTTCTGGTTCTGCACCAGGTCTCATTTTGGCAGGGCTGTGTGTGTTAGAACTGTCCCAGCTCATCACAGTGGTGCATGTTCAGTAGGGAAGTAGTTCCTCAGCTGTGGAAGCATGAAGTTCATTCACAGTGCTGGAGGAACGTGTAATTAGGACTGCAGTAAGAAGATTTAAAATTCCAGTGTTGGCAAAGCAGATGCCTGACTCTGAGCTAGTAATTTCAGGCTTGATCTACAGGAAATGGAGAGAAATAGCCATTTTGGAAGTTCATTTGTCTCACAAGGAAGAACATGTCCAAAGGAGGTTAATTGAATTGCATTCTAAAGTGCCTCTTTATCTGATCTTAACTCTATGGAGAGCTGAAGGGATTAGCTGGGAGATACACACCTCATGAATCCTCTGAAGTACAATGGGGGTAATCTACACCTTCTGCAGTGTGTGGAAAGTGCTCTTGGTATTATTTTGTCTCTGTTCATGAGCACTAGTTGTGCTTTGCCCTTTGAGGAACTTAAAGCAACTGCTTGAGCTGCAGCCAACCTGAATCCAACCATCTCTGCTGCCTAAAGAGCTGGTGGCCCAGATTTGTGCTACTACTAGCCCTGCCCAATGTGTTGCAGCTTAGAGTGCAGACATTGGTAGAGATGCACAGAAAACAAAACTCCAGAAGATTTGTGTCTCTAGAATACTATGATATTTATATATAAAACATAAATAATGATAAAATCTTCTATTTTTGTGGAGGGGGAGAGGTAGCTGATCTAAGAAGGAAGTTTTATCAATTTACAAAACAAGCTTCAGAACTATTCAGAGCTTCATTAGAACTATTCATTAGCTTCAGAGGCTAATGAAGGCTGTTCTCTGCTCCTGTGTGGGTTTCTAAGGACTTCTAGCTCCAGGTTCATTGTCCTGGGGCATCTACAGGGTCACTCCCCGCTGTGGATTCTTTGTTGCCTAAACTTTCCGTGCTGACACAACCAGACTTTTCCTTGAGCTGTTTGCAAAGACCACTTCTCTCAAACTCTGTTGGTATTTAGCTGTCTTGGAGATCTTCTTTCGTGCAGTTAAATTTGGTTGAGGCCAGCAAATAACTTCTGGAGGCAAAGAGATACAAGGTGTGATCAAATCTGCCTTGTTGCCTGTGAAAAAAAAAAAGAGATAAAATACTCCAAGTCAGCAGTAGCATTTTGTTGCATACTGTATTTACACTGAAGACTAAAATTTTCTTGCTTTTTTGTTTGTTTGTTCATGGGACCTTTCTGTTCATATGACAACTGCATCTAAGTGAAAAGATGCAGCATAAAAATGAGTGAGGCTGCAGATTTTGGCTTCACCACTGCAGGGCACTCTGCAGCCAAGAATGTGAAATCACTTGGGCCACAAAACTCAAACTGCCTCCAGACAGCAGCTTGTGCTTCATCACATGGAGGATTTTACCCCTCAGAAGAACTCTGCTGGTGTTTCTCCACAGACACGTGTGTGCTATTAGTCAGCAGTAAAAAAACCCTCTATTTTGTCAGAAATTTAGAAGCATGCAGAGGGTGGTGTTCCTCCCCGTGCCCTGGATTGCAGCAGTACCTTCCCTTTTGGTCCTGGGTCACTGCTGCCCATGAGCAGGTTCCCAAGTAGGTGCTGTCAGAGAATTCTTACAAGTGTTTGGCAGTTCCAGGTCAAGGTGTCCCTGTCAAACCCCTTTCTGCACTCTTTGTCACCTTGGGGCTTGGCAGTTCAGTTGGCACCTGGATTTCCATTGGAAATGGATGGCAACGTGGAACAGATTCAACTTTTTCCAGCAGAGAAACCCACAAACAGCCTTTTGGAGAGAAAGGAAGGAAAGGAGCTTTAGCTGTGTGCCCCTACAAAGAGAGGAGCAGTGGCAGTGAGCAGCACTTCTGCTCCTCCTCACAACCCTCCTGGAAGTGATTGGAGACTGTCCAACCTGATTCCATAAAACATTTTCTTTCTTAAGCAAGAGCAGGTCACTAGCAGAGAGCTGGAAAAAAAAAAAGCAAGGGACAAACTGAAGAAATGTTTCCCAAGGCAATGTTAGCCCTTGAGAGGCTCGGAGGAGATGCTGGAACCTTCTGGTCCCATTGTCTCCTAGGCAGGACTTGCTGCAGGGGGCTCAGGAAGCTTCATAAAAACCTTTGGAATGGGCTTGATTCCTTTTGTCCTCCAAGGATGACTCCATTCTCCAGGAATTTCCTTGTCTTTTGGAGTCCAGCAAGAAGGGAGCCCCAGTAAAGTTCCACTGGGTGACACGGTGGCTAATACACTGTCATGTCTCCATGCTGTTCATATCCTCGTAGACTTTCTGTTTAGCCTCCTACTTTCATGGGTGGCAAAGGGTTTCTTTCCAGTTAATTTCTTTTTCTTCATCTCCAGTTCCTTAGCAGCCTTACTTTTGCCTTGAAAAAGGAGGAATTCTTCTTGGGAGGCAAGTGAGACTTCTAGCCCCACAGCCTTTGAAGGCACAAGAAGCCAACATCCTAGGTTTTGTTCTCCAAGAGCTGCTTGGCTTAGCATCACTTTGTCACATTGTCCCTAAGCAAGAGATGAACAGAGTTCCTCTAAGCATGGGGTTTGCACATGTCCCTGAGCCCCTCAAAGAAGTGCCTGAACCTGCTTGGACCTTCTGGTGAGCAAAACAAAACAAATCCAAACCAAATCATGGCCTTATTGCTGCTTTCCCTAAGGGAAGGAAGGGCAGATACAGGCAGGCTGGGATTTACCTGTAACATGGTGGGCTCAAGTTGCACCAGGGAAGGTTTAGGTTGGGTATTAGGAAGAATTTCTTTCCTGGCAGAGTGGTGAGGCACTGGAAGGGGCTGCCCAAGGGGGTGGTGGAGTCCCCATCCCTGAAGGGGTTCAAAAAACATGTAGATGTGGCACCTGAGGTCCTGGTAGTGTTGGGTGATGGTTGGACTTCATGATCTTAGAGGTCTTTTCCAACCTTAATGATTCTATGACTGGTTGTTATTTTGATTCCTGCCCCCAGGTTCAGGCTCTCCAAGGCAGCTGGAGGCTTAAAGCAAATCCTTCCTAGGTGACTGTAGTCCTGCAGGAAGCTCCTCACAGCACAGAGCTGGCTGTAGACCACTGCCAAACACCAGAGCAACACTTTGTGGATTGGCTCCAGCTCAGGGAGGGTGCTGCTGTCACACAAGCAAGAGAGCATTGCAGCTGAGGGACTCCAGTGCAGCTCTTGACACATTTGGCCACTCTAAGAAGAAAAAGGAGAAAACTCCTTGTCCTGTTGTGTTCTAGGGGCCATTTGGGAGGGGTACACACGAGTATTCCCTTAGATGCACCCTGAGCCTTCCTTGCAGTAGGACCCATGACTCCTTGGACTCAAGGTGATTGTAGTGTGAACCTTGTCTGTGGAAGTACATGGGTTTCATTCCCAGTTCTGGTCTTCTCCAAGGCAGTGTGAAGCTCAGACAATTTCTCCCTAATTACCTGGAGATGCACTGGAAACTCAACGTTGTTCATATGATCCTACAGTGAGAACTTTCACCTCGAGTTAAAAAGTCCTCAGGATATTTGGTGATAAGGCAAGCCCAGCTGTTTTATGAACCGTTGCTGGAGAAGTGTTTTGGGAACACCAGGGGCAGAGAGGGGGAAATGCTTGTTAGCAACATGGACAAATCACTGCTGCTCTCTGAGGTGAGGCAGAAGTGATCCAGAAGGATGGGGAGAAGCCACACGCAAGCCAAGAAGAACACTCCCCAGAATAATCGAAGGTAAGGATTCCTGATCGAATAATTAAGTTGTTTAGTGATGTAACTGTGTTATAACTTTATCATCTTGTGCTGGAGAGGGAGGGTGAGATAAAATTTTTTGGTCTGTTGGGCTGTACTTTGCTGAACCACACTTCACTGAGCTGAGCACATGCAACCCTGCACATGAGCCCTAATGAAAGGGCTTCAGCAAAGGCAAAGCCCTGAGTAAATAATCCTGTAGTTATTGTGTTGGACACCTTGAACTTGTGTAGCCAAGCCAAGTCAGACACTGGGAAAAGAGGTAGAATTAAATTTATAAACTCCAAGATCACAGGAAAAACAATTCTTGTGGACTTGAGGTCCCACCAAAACTGAAATACATTTAAATAATTGTAACATTGATCTACAATTTCTGAAATTTCATCTCCCAGCAGCTGGAGGGGGGGGGGTGAGGAGTATTTTAAGGCACAACAATTTCTTCAAACAGTCCTCTTCCTAGGCCAGATTTCCTAAATTAACTCTGTTTTTTTCAGGTAACCACAAACAAACTGCATTCCTAACTGGCAACCTGACAGAGTAACTTCCAGCCAGGCTACTAAGTCATAGTCCCATGGCAAATGTAGAAAATCCTTTAAGTTCTGTTTCAGCATCACCCATTTAAAATCTGCTGGTTCAAACTGGGCTTC